GTTAGTAGCATAGTCACCAGTAAGTGAACCCAAACATAAATTAAAATCGCCACATATAATAGTGTCATTGGTCAAAGGAATGGATGAGAGAACTGCAAGAGCATCATGGGTGGACATAGAGGGTGGTAAGTACAGGCATACAATTCTGAGGGAACCAATCTTGATGGCCAAAGCATAATTAGATGACATAGGAATCTGAGTGACAGGATAAGGACAGGATGGAGAAATAAGAACAGAAACACCCATAGAACCTCTGTAGTTGCCAGCTACAGGTGAACCATAAAGATGAATCTGGGACCAAGAAGTGGGGAGACGAGATGGGGGGAGAAGCCATGTTTCAGTGATAAAAAGCATATGTAGAGAGTGACAGTGTTGAAGAACATCATAAATTGCACGAGGCTGCAGACCATTAGCATTCCATAGTCCTAATGAGATTTCACTCATTCAGACATTGCAACAGAGATACGATGAGATGGTGATTGGAAATCATGAATACCAGCACCAGGACCAGAAACAGAATGAACAGGAATATCTTCCTTAGAGATCCAGCCTTGATCACAAAAGAAATGACCAACAGAAACAGCAACATGAGGACAAAGATACTTGAGAGCCTTCAGACAACGATCAGAATGAAGTTCAGCAGCAACTTCTTCTAGCTCTGAATCAGAAAGAGACTTATATTTGGGATCTGCAATGTTTTTGGGATCCAAAGGGTCAAACGTGTCTAAGATCTCAATGGCAACTGTGGTCAGAGTGATCTGGAATTTCTCAGCATACTGGTTGTGAACTAGGATGCCAACTACATCCTTGGCAGGAAAATTGATATCCAAGATGTGGCCAGTATCAACACCAAGTGTTTTCAAAGAGTTGCGCACTTCTCTATGTGTGAGATGACGTGAACGTGGGATATACACATATTGATATCCTTTGGGACCAGTGGGAATGGCAAACATTCTAGCAGAAGCAGTAACCTGGCAAACAGAAGGAGGTCTTGGAGTCTTGCGAACAGAAAGAGCAGTAGGAACAACAACAGAGTTGTGAGCAGCAGCAGCAGTTGTAGCCCATGTAGAAGCCTTAGTGCCAGGCTCCTTGGGTGTGGTTGGTGCAGATGATGTTGATGCATTTGTTGTAATTTGGCAATTGCCCTGAGATGCTAATTGAGATCTGAGATCAGCAATTAGCTTTTCCGTATTAACTAATTGAGTAGTTAATCTAGCATTAGTTGCGGCAAGAGATTCAAGTTCATTGGTACGTTGTAGTAGTGACATGAATTGGGCCTGCATGTTCCCCAGAAATGAGGCGATATCGGGTGACATTCCCTGTATAATAGAGGATGGAACCAATGTTGACATTTGAGATGGCAAAAATGCCCGCTTAGCTCAGTTGGTTAGAGCGTGGTGCTAATAACGCCAAGGCCACAGGTTCGACCCCTGTAGTGGGCATTTTTGGAATTTTGTCATTCCT